GCGTGTTCCATCGCACCGTGTGTGATGTGTGTGGCCAGGAGGGCACTGTGTGTGCTGGGGCCTCCTTCTGGGAGCCAGGTCCTCGGTGCTGGCATGATGCAATGTCTGTAACTGTGAGCTGCACACAAGTCCACATGGCAACCGAAATAAAATTTCACAACACTGGGACTTCCCTGGTGGTGCAATGGTTAAGAATCTGCCTGCCAATGCAGGGGACATGGGATCGAGCCCTGGTCAGGGAAGATCCCACATGCCATGGAGTAACTAAGCCCGTGCACCACGACTACTGAGGCTGCGCTCTAGAGCCCACGAACCACAACTACTGAGCCCACGTGCCACAACTACTGGAGCCCGCGTGCCTAGAGCCTGTGCTCTGCAACAAGAGAAGCCACTGCAGTGAGAAGCCCGTGCACCACAACGAAGAGTAGCCCCCGCTCACCGCAACTAGAGAAAGCCCATGCGCAGCAACAAAGACACGATGCAGCCAAAAATAATAAATAAATTAATAAATTAATTGAAAAAAAACACTAAAATTTCACAAAACAATCTGACTTTATTATATGGGATGAACTCCAAAATGTTGGTAAGACCCTCTAACTTGACGTCTCTCCACAAATGGGTCACAGCAAAAACCCTGCTCTGTAAATCCCACCCCCGTCCCCATCTCTTTAGCTCCTACTCTCAGCACCCTGGTGGGTGTTGTCTCATACATGTGCTTGTGGTGACTCAGTCTTCATTTTTTTTAAATTTTTTTACCCTACGCGGGCCTCTCACTGTTGTGGCCTCTCCTGTTGCGGAGCACAGGCTCCGGATGCGCAGGCTCAGCGGCCATGGCTCATGGGCCCAGCCGCTCCGCGGCATGTGGGATCCTCCCTGACCAGGGCACAAACCCTTGTCTCCTGCATCGGCAGGCGGACTCTCAACCACTGTGCCACCAGGGAAGCCCTCAGTCTTCATTTAGGCTGAGGTTGTCCTTTGCTTTTTTTTTGTTGTTGTTGTTGTTTTCTATTTTCTTCCCTGATTTTAAAACAGTTTGTTTTTTTTGTAGTATAGTTGCTTTACAATGTTGCATTAGTTTCTACTGTACAGCAAAGTGAATCAGCTATATGTATACGTATACCCCCTTTTTTTTGGATTTCCTTCCCGTTTAGGTCACCACAGAGCACTGAGCCGAGTTCCCTGTGCTATACAGTAGGTTCTCATTAGTTATCTATTTTATACATAGTATCAATAGTGTATATATTTCAATCCCAATCTCCCAATTCATCCCACCTCCCCCCTTTCCCCTTGGTATCTATACACTTGTTCTCTATGTCTCTTGTCTTGATTTCTGCTTTGTAAATAAGATCGCCTGTACCAGTTTTTTCAGATTCCGCATATTTGGAATCTGGAGTTTTGTTCCCAGGATTTTTCTGACCCAAGGTTGCTAGTTGGAGGTGGTCAGCACTTAGAATGACAGATGCAGCTGAGGGTTTTGTTGGAGGATGTCCTGCCTTTCCTCTGTCCGGATACTAGTTCTCTACAGCAGCCAGTGATGTCCAAGGTCATAGTAAGAACCAGAATAAGGACTGCCACTTTTTGAATGCTCCCTCTGTGCCAGGTCTGTGTCAGACTCTCTCTGTATAGTATAGTATACCACACTCTGTCACAACAACAATCCCATGAACGTGGTAATAAGCCACTTCTGTGCATTGAGCACGTGTGTTAAGTGCCAGGCTAAGCACTCTGCATGCAACATTGTGTTAAATGTTCTATAATGTTATAGGAAGATATCCTTGTCCCCATTTTACAGGTGGAGAAACTGAGGCTCACAGAGGTTAGGAAACCGACTTATGGCTATGCAGTTAACGAGAGAATCTCAGGTTCAAGGGGGATTGTCCTTAACAACTTAGCTTTCCTGATGGGACACTGACCAAACATCTTTGGGGTTTTGGCTGCCCCATTTTTTCTCCTGAAACCATGGTATTGAGGTCACCTTGCTGTCATCAAAGGGAAAAAAATCCCACTCACAATTCTTATTTGTTTCTTCTTACAATTATTATTATTATTTTTTGCACAGAAATCATTTCTCTTTGTTAGTCCCATTTTCCCAAACAGCATAAATGATTTAGCTACCTGCTGCGCTATGGCAGCTGCCACTCTCGGCAGGGGAGTTGCAAAGTTGAAATCGTAATGATGAGAAGACGCTGGTGAACGTGCTGCTTCCTGAGGGAGGGAAGAAGCCCATCGTAAGCTCAGGCCACTGAGGGTTGGCTTGGCAGGGGATGGCTTTCTCCTTCATTGGTTTCTGTGTTTTCCCCTCATTTCCCTTTTTAAATGTTAGAGCATATCAAATGAGCCCTCTCTCCCTCCAGGGCAGTTTCAATCTCTTAACATTTTTTGGTTGGGCTTCTCTGGGGGTTGGTTTTTTTTTTTTTT